TGGGTGTGGCCCATTGGGTGGGCGTGGCTGTGGTGGTAACGGCAGACTGGGTGGGACTAAAAAGTTCAATCAATCAATTTCAACTTTGCAAGATTTTTTTTTTCCCACGAGAAGTTGAAATTGACTGATTGAACCTTTTTTTTTTTTTTTGCACATGGCGGCGGAGGCCTAAAGCGAAAAGGTTTTATAAAACCCAGCTGAAGGCCTAGGAGTGGGGGCGACGATGCGTGTGCCCAGTCTCTCCCGAGACTCACGGCGGAGACCGTGGGCACGGTATCCAAGCGGTGGTGACTTTATCTTCATAACTAAAAAGGGCTTTAATTCTTGAGACTGCGAGGTAATTGATTACACCGTGTACTACGAAAAGGTCAAAAAGGGGTTTCTCAGAGACCGAGACAAACGACACTAAAGAACACCGGTCCAATTTTTTTTTTTAATTCATTCTAGGTGGCATTTTCGGCCAGCTGTTCCTTGAACGAGTTTCCTTAAAACTACAGGTGGTCCTTGAATTACGACCACAATGGAGCTCAAAATTTCTGTTGCTAAGTTTTGGGAAGTGAGTTTTGCCCCATTTTGCGACTCTTGTTTTCCCCTCCCAATGTTCACACTGAAAACATGGCTTCTTACAAAGTAAAATCATTATTCCGTGTCCTACATCAGTGATGGCGAACCTTTTAGAGACGGAGTGCCCCAAAACTGGCCCCGCCTCCGCTCAACCCACCCCTGACCCACCCCCGTTCTGCCCCACCCCGCCTGCCCGCAGGGCCACTCACCGCCTCCAGGGCCCGCCGCAGATCGCCCAGGCAGCCCAGCAGCGCCATGGTGGCCACGCCCTCTCCCCGCGCCCAGCATCAACTGTGCATGATGGGGCGTGAGGGCATAGTCTTGTCTACGCTGCCTGGCTTCCAGGTCCTTGGCTGCCCTGCTCTGCGTGGGCCATGCTTAGGGGTGATTCTTCTCCAGGGGGGCTGCTGGTGAGGGGGTTGTGGGGGGAGGCAAGGCTGGGGCAACGGCACGTGTGCCCACAGAGAGGGCTCCAAATGCCGCCTCTGGCACCCATGCCATAGGTTCGCCACCACTGTCCTACATCATACATGATAGAGAATCGGCCTTCTTCTGGATGACAGTTTTTTAATGTCCTTGAAAAATTTGTCAGTAGAACCAATTACTAAAGGAAGATACATTCAAGCTGAAGCTGGACAATCCCATCTGTCAGGATGCTTTAATTTGTCTTTCTTTATTGAACAGGGGATTGGAGGTGAGAACTAACTTGGCCCTTGCAACGTTGAGTCGGCAATGCTAATATTCAGGCCTCTGCTGGGCAACTGTCATGTTTTGGAGGATATTTGCAATCAGTGTAGTGCCTTTGGCAAAGGGAAAATTTTGCTATCACTCTCTCAGTTTGCTGTTTCCTGTGCTTGTTAGAGAAGGAAGTAGGGAAGGATTTGATCCACTGAAGCAGAGCTCCGATGTGGAAGGTGGAAGAATTGCATTGATAGTAGAGTAGGGTAGGGTAGGGTAGAGTAGAGTAGAGTAGAACAGAACAGAACAGAACAGAACAGAAGAACAGAACAGAACAGAATAGAATATAGAGTGGAATGGAATGGAATGGAATAGAATATAGAATAGAATGTAGAGAATAGAATAGAATAGAATAGAATAGAATAGAATATAGAATATAGAATATAGAATATAGAATATAGAATATAGAATATAGAATAGAGTGGAACGGAACAGAACAGAACAGAATAGAACATAGAGTAGAATGGAATGGAATAGAATATAGAATAGAATGTAGAAAATAGAATGAATAGAGTAGAGTGGAACGGAACGGAACGGAACAGAATAGAATAGAATATAAAATAGAATGGAATGGAATAGAATAGAATATAGAATAGAATGTAGAAAATAGAATAGAATGTAGAAAATAGAATAGAACAGAACAGAACAGAACAGAACAGAATAGAATAGAATAGAATAGAATAGAATAGAATATAGAATAGAGTGGAACAGAACAGAATAGAATCCTATAAAGAACAGTTGCTGGAAATGGGTATGTCTAGTTTAATGAAGAGAAGGACGAGGGGGGACATGATAGCTGTGTTCCAGTATCTCAGGGGCTGCCACAAAGAAGAGGTAGTCAAGCTATTCTCCAAAGCACCTGAAGGCAGGACAATAAGCAACGGATGGAAACTAATCAAGGAGAGAAGCAACCTAGAACTAAGGAGAAATTTCCTGACAGTTAGAACAATTAACCAGTGGAACAACCTGCCTCCAGAAGCGGCGAATGCTCCAACACTGGAAGTTTTTAAGAGACTGGACAGCCATTTGTCTGAAATGGTATAGGGTTTCCTGCCTGAGCAGGGGGTTGGACTAGATGACCTCCAAGGTCCTGTCCAACGGTTTGTTTGTTTGTTTTTTATTATTATTATTATTATTATTATTATTATTATTATTATTATTATTATTATTATTATTATTATTATTATTATTATTATTATTATTATTATTATTATTATTATTATTATTATGAATAGAATAGAATAGAATAGAATAGAATAGAATAGAATTCTTTATTGGCCAAGTGTGATTGGACACACAAGGAATTTGTCTCCAATACATAAGCTCTCAGTGTACATACAGGCAACAAGTGATAAATCCTGATCATAATCATAAAATACAATCATAATAAATCATAAGATACAACACTCGATAGTCATAGGATACTATGGTAAATAAGCAATCAACATAAATCATAGTAGGATAACTAAATAAAAGCAATCAACATAGATCATAAAATACAAACAACAAAGTTACAGTCTCTCTGAGCTTGGCTGTTTTTCTTGCAGATGTTTCATTACCCAAACTAGGTAACATCATGAGGGCTAAGGTAATGAAACGTCTTCAAGAGAAACAACCAAGCTCAGAGAGCACCAAGGACCCCTCATGTCAGCAATGAACTACAAATATTCTCCTTTATTAGTATAGTCATAGGAAGCTAAGAAAATAGGTAATAGCAAAGATGAGAAGGATAATAGCAATGCAGCCCTAGTAGGTGGTTTGACATCCCAGGGCATAAGACAGTGTTGTGGGAATTAGTTGTTCAGCAAAGTGATGGCCTGGGGGGGAAAAACTGTCCTTGTGTCTAGTTGTGTTGGTTTGCAGTGAAGTATTAGTCACATGCAGTCACGTGAAGTATCAGTACCACTTTACAATGCCTTGGTAAGGCCACACTTGGAATACTGCATCCAGTTTTGATCACCACGATGTAAAAAAGATGTTGAGACTCTAAAAAGAGTACAGAGAAGAGCAACAAAGATGATCAGGGGACTGGAGGCTAAAACATATGAGGAACGGTTGCTGGAATTGGGTATGTCTAGTTTAATGAAGAGAAGGACGAGGGGGGACATGATAGCAGTGTTCCAGTATCTCAGGGGCTGCCCCAAAGAAGAGGGAGTCAAGCTATTCCCCAAAGCACCTGAAGGCAGGACAAGAAGCAACGGGTGGAAACTAAGCAAGGAGAGAAGCAACCTAGAACTAAGGAGAAACTTCCTGACAGTGAGAACAATTAACCAGTGGAACAACCTGCCTCCAGAAGCGGTGAATGCTCCAACACTGGAAGTTTTTAAGAAAAGACTGGACAGCCATTTGTCCGAAATGATATAGGGTTTCCTGCCTGAGCAGAGGGTTGGACTAGATGACTTCCAAGGTCCCTTCCAACTTTATCATTATTATTATTAGTAGTATACCTCATAGCATTGTCTTGAGGGAGGAAGTTGAAACAGTTTATGTCCAGGATGTGAGGGGTCTGTAGATACTTTCTCAGCCCTCTGTGGCTGGTGCTATATACAGATGTTCAATGGAAGGCAGGCTGATTGCAGTTGTTTTTTTCTGCAGTCCTAACTATCCCGTGAAGTCTGGGTCTCTCTTGTTTGATCATCTGGTTGCTCAGAAAGAACAGCCAGATAGACACAGGGAAAGCCAGGATGGAAAGCCATCCCGAAGCCTGGCAATTACTGGTGAATGGTCCTCTGGCCTGTCTAAGAGTCAGAGTTGCTTCTCCTTTGAAGAGCAAACCATACCAACAAATGTGTACAATAGTACAGGTCCTTGATTTACAAGGTCATAAAACGGGGCAAAACTCACTTAACAACTGTCTCCTGTAGGAGCAGAAATTTTGGGCTCAATTTTGGTTATAAGTTGAAGACTATAATGTCCTCCACCTTGAATTATTTCTAAAAACAATACAGGTAGACCTCGACTTACGGCCACAATTGAGCCCAACGTTTAAGTTGCTAAGTGAGAAATTTCTTAAGTGAGTTGTGCCCCATTTTACGGCTTTTCTTGCCATATTTGTTAAGTCAATCACTGCAGTTGTTAAATCAGTAACACGGTTGTTAAATGAATCTGGCTTCCCCATTGACTTTGCTTGTCAGAAGATCGCAAAAGGGGATCACATGACCCCGGGACGCTGCAACTGTCATAAATGTGTCGGTTTTCAAGCATCTGAATGTAAATCACGTGACCATGAGGATGCTGCAACCATCGTAAGTGTGAGAAATGGTCATAAGTCACGTTTTTCAGTGCTGTTGAAACTTCAAACTGTCACTAAATGAACTGTTGTAAGTCGAGGAGTATCTGTAAAGTCGGGATACATGAATGAATGAATGAATGAATGAATGAATGAATGAACAACTGAACGACTGAATGAACGAATGAACAAATGAACAAATGACTGACTGACTGAATGAATGAATGACTGACTGACTGAATAAATGAACAACTGAAGGACTGACTGACTGACTGAATGAATGAACAACTGAACAACTGAAAGACTGACTGACCGAACGACCGAACGAACGACCGACCGACCGACCGAACGAACGAACGAACGAACGAACGAACGAAAACTCACAGTTGTTCCCGTGTGATTCTGTTTTGACCATTCAGAAAGTTGACTTATTATGAACTGTACCAACATTTCTGTCTTCTCTGAGCAGATTGCCATCCGCTTTGTGAGTTGTGCGTCGCAGATCTCCACACAGACAGAGGAAGCATCTGTCTGAGGTGCCGTGATACCCATCACCTGCTTCTGAAGGACCACTGCGTTCCAGACTGCCCCGTGGGATTTTACCAACTCGGAGGAGCATGTCAGAGTGAGTAATGCCTGAGAAAACAGGGGCCTTAGCAATCAACAGCTTTGACATGCCAATTAATTTCCCATCAGATAAATAATTTTTTCAACCTGTGGTCTCTCCTTGCGTGAAGCCTTAATGATAAAGTTATTCATAGGGACATAAAATTACTGCTGTCTTGAGTCAAATCAAAGACTGTAGAATTTCAAGAGACTTTCAGAAGCTAGATAGAAAGACATCCTCAAGTTCTCAAGTGACTGATATCCAGAACCATCCACCCTCTGGATAGCATATATAATCATCATAATGAATAGATGTTGATGTAAATGGTATTTTAAAGCTGTCTCTGATGGTTTTCTGTTATCTGTTTTGTGTGTAATTACTCTGATTCCTCTATCACCTGATGTTCTTCCATTGTATTTGATAGCAACTGGCATAATTGATATTAATATCAGTTGATATTGCTGGCTGGGAAGGAGAATGATAAAGAGTCCATCAACATCTGGATGGGCCAGGTGTTCAATAATATCAATTTGTCAGTCATTTATGATGTGGGGTTGGTTTATGGCACCAGTTTCTCAATCGCTGCAGGAGATGGGGGACGATTTCCATTCCTGGATAAATCCCAATAACGTAGAATTCACAGCAATTAAGGTAGAAAGTCCAGTCAAGGCTTAAATACTATATTGGGGTTGTTGTTTTTTTTTCCAAAAAAATTAAGAATATTATTTTTCTACATCACAAAAACATGAGGAAATTCTCTTGAGAAATGAGCAGATATCAACCGGAAAATGAAGAGATTGGAATAGCTTTACCCAACCTGGCACTCATACAGTAGTTCAAGGTCAAACTTAGCTGGATATACTGTGTTTAATACATTCCAGGAATATAAGAGAGTCAGTTTGGTCTAGTGATTAAGGCACCAGGCTGGAATCCAGGAGGCTGTGAGTTCTAGTCCCACCTTAGGCATGAAAGCCAGATGACTTTGGGCCAATCACCAGAAAGCAGTTTTTGCTTTGACAAAAGAGTTAGATGATGCTGGAGGGGGTGGGGAGGATGGTGCATGAGAGTTTAGCTAGACATAATAATACTGGACTTAGTGTATGAGCCAAGGTTAATGAAATAAGAGATGATAAGAATTGGCAAGCTGGAGAACTGGAGGGAAAGCCTGCATTTCAAACTAATTGGAGAATGTGATTTATGACAGTTAATTGGAGGAGGGAATTGTGCTTTGATACTATGGGCTCAGGGAAGGGGACTCCAGTTTTTGGCTTCCACCATGTTAGTGCCGATGCCATGCTTCTCAAATAAAGATTCTTTAAGGTAAACAATGCCTCGAAGCTCTTTGAAGAGTTTCATGCGTCGGAACCATGACACATGGAGCTTGAGAGTCTGCATGTTAAATGCCTTTGTCTACTGCTTCCCTTCCAGAGTGTCATCCTTCCTGTAAAACCTGCACAGGAGAAGGCCCTTTCTCCTGCACTTCCTGTGACCCCAACCTCGTCCTTTCTCATGCTGGCTCATGCCTCTCGGCCTGTTCCCTGGGATTCTTTCAGGATGAGAACCTTCATTGCAAGCGTACGTGGTGCCTCAGTTTCTCAGTTTTATTTGGGACAATGTTTTAGAAGTCGGTGTTCTCGTTCTCTCTCTCTCTCTCTCTCTCTCTCTCTCTCTCTCTCTCTCTCTCTCTCTCTCTCTCTCTCTCTCTCTCTCTCTCTCTCTCTCTCTCTCTCTCTGTGTGTGTGTGTGTGTGTGTGTAGGACAACTTGCTATAGCCAACTCACCACGGCCAACTTGCAGGACAATTCAGTGTGGGTTTAGTTTATTTTATTATTCATCCACGCATTATAAAAGCTGGTGATCATGGGAATGATTTCATTTGATGCAAGAGGTTAAAATAATTTTGACCNGGATAAGGAAATGGAAAATGCTTGTAGGTTCTGAATGATTTCAAAAGACTTAGCAGGAAGAGGTCTGTAGGTGGTTTGATGTTGTTTGGGATTGGGAGCTTAAGTAGAGTTATGGCTGGTTGGATGGGAGACCACGTAGGAATGTTACAAGGTCGACTGGGAAATCAAGCAACAGAATTTGCTGGGAGTTGAAGTCCACACGTCTTAAAGTGGCCCAGGTTGAGAAATACCGCACTAAAGTGTACATTTCTGGTTCAAAAGCTACAATGGCCAAGTTCATACAATACACTAATTCAAACCAAGCAAATTGCATTATGATTTCTCTAGGACAGGGATCTCCAACCCCCAGTCCGTGGACCGGTACCGGTCTGCGGCGTGCCAGCAACCGGTCCGCACAAACAAACAAAGCCCCATCTGCGGGATGCAGGCAGCACACAAAACCACGCCACCTCTGCTCCGCGGAAAAACCTCTATCCACGGAACCGGTCCCTGGCGCCCAAAAGGCTGGGGACCTCTGCTTTAGGACATTTCCATGTTCGAGACATGTTAAATTGTCCTTACCTTGACTCCCATAGAACAGAAAAGAGAAAAATCCAACTAAAATTAAGAGGTGAGCCTTAATCGAGATGTTTAGTGTAGTACATTGTACAACAGGCTGAGAGAGATACAATTAAAAGAGACTGCAAAAAAAAACAGCCTTGCAGTGAATCCCAAAGATTCATATCAAGTAGTTCTAGTAAATGTGCATCCCAGTCAAATCTAAGTAGCTTACACTGTACATTTTATATTGCTTTTACGCCGCCGTTTTGAATAATATGTCACTAGAATATTTGAAGTTTGTAAATGGTAATACATCTCATTATTAGCCATTTCTTCGCTCTGTTAATCCACATATCTTCTTAATGTTACAGTTGTTAATTAATTAAGCCTTGTGACACTCTCTGGAATTGATAAAGTGAAATGAGATGCCATAGCATAGAAAATTAGATACAAGCGATATTATAGGATGGATTGGATTGAGAGAAGTGGGCAGGCAGCCTGGAATTGTGTGTCCTTAAACTTAAAGGAAGAAAGTTAGTGAAGAAGGAGGTTTAGTTTTTGACTGTGATCACTTTGAAGCTGTATCAACTCAAAGAGTTCCATTCTTGTTTGATCTATCCCGTTAATTAATCTGTTAAAGCAGTGTTTCTCAACCTTGAAAGTCTAAGATGTATGGGTGTTAACTCCCAGAATTGCCCAACCAGCCAGGGCTGGCTAGGGAATTCTGGGAGTTGAAATCCACACTTTTTAGAGTTGCCAAGTTTGAGGAACTCTATGTTAAGGTGTTGCAGGACTCTATCTGCTATAGATTTGTGGGTGTCAAGCATCAGGGAAATCAGAAGATCCATGCAATTCAAATGGATATAAAGATTTATTGCAAGCTTAAGCTCTCTACGAGAATCTGAATTACTAAAGGCCAAAGTGAATTGGCGGTAGATAAAAGTCAACGGAATTCAAGGTGGGCTGGACTTTGATCTCTTGTGGGTGCGAAGGCACTCAAGACTAATGACACGTTTGACCCCTCCCTCCGGCTCAGCCTGGTCATCTCCTACACTCGGATCTTCATTGCTTTCAAATGAACTCTTATGTTTATGTTTAAATATGGCCCTCTGTCAACCTTCCCTTGTAGATGCAAATTGAGCATGTCAGGAAAAACTCTGGAGCAGTGGTTCACCTCCTTTCTCAGTAGTCTGTTCCGGTCAATATTGAGTGGGAGGGGAGAAATCACACCTACGATCCCTCACTTGTGGGGTGCCTGAGAGTTTGACGCTTTCCCTCTTTCTATTTAACATTTACGTACAACTATTGGGTGAGGCTATTTCGTTGAGTTTGTTGTCATCAGTATGAATGCCTTCCCTTATTATGGTGTCTCCTAAAGAAGTTGAGTTACACCAAGGTTTCTCAACCTTGGCAACTTTAAGAGGTGTAGACTTCAACTCCCAGAATTCCTCAACCAACCATGCTGGCTGGGGAATTCTGGGATTTCAAGTCCACCCGTTTTAAAGCTGCCAGCATTTAATTTTGAATGTACCCAAAAAAGGAATGTATTATTACATAGGGAGAAAATCAGGTTCACGGTTTAAGGAAAGAAATGAAAATCAAGGTTAATTTTTGGCTCCGGATTGTCTGCTGCACTATGACTTTGCTATGTTGGTCAATGATAAAAGGAAGAACTTGGACTTATTTAAATGGTGCACTTCTACTTTTCATAATTCTTTGACATACCCCAAGTATTTTATATACGATGTAGCTCAGTAATTTGTGTTTTTTTTATCATTTCTGTATTACAAGTTGCAATACAGAAATGATAAAAAAAAAAACTGTCCCCATAGAAAGAAGTCTGAAGTGTTCTTTGAAATTTTCTTTAACCCTTATAGCTTCAGTTCTTAATGTGAAATCTGATCAGTCCTGATGTTTTGTCTTTTCTCTCCAGCTTGCAGTGACCCGTGTCTAAGCTGTGATTCAAGATCCCACTGTACTTCTTGCAAAGACCCATCTAAAGTCTTACTGTTTGGAGAGTGCCAATATGATAAATGTCCATCACAATATTTCCTCGATTTGTCTACCAGGATGTGCAGAGGTGAAGGGAATCTCAAAAATGTTCACGTTGAGTCTGAATAACAATGATCAGCCACGTTTTAATGGTCTGCGTGGAACCCACGCTCGTGGTCTCTTCCCTAACTGCCTGTCTCCTGCCATATCTTTTCTTTTCAGTTCTGTCTCCCACTCAGCAGACACCCGTGCCTGCCCACATACAGGTAGTCCTTGACTTACAACAGTTCATTTAGTGACTGTTCAGTTACAACAGCACCGAAAAACGTGATTTGTGACCGTTTTGCACACTTACAATCATTGCACCATCCCCAACATTTAGTCACTTGGCAACTTTCTTATGACAGTTGCAATGTCTTGAGGTCATGTGATCACCTTTTGTGACCTTCTGACAAACAAAATCAATGGGGGAAGCCAGATTCACTTCACAACTGTGTTACTAACTCAACACCTACAGCGATTGACTCAACAACTGTGGCAAAAGAGGTCGTAAAAAGGGCCAAAACTGACTTTAACAACTGTCTCGCTTGGCCACAGTAATTTTGGGCTCCATTGTTGTCGTAAGTCAAGGACTACCTGTACATGACACTCACACACACACATGCTTGCTGCTGTGGGTAAATTCTGGCCAAGGGTTTGCTGTTGTTTGCTCTGCTCAATGGTTAGTTGAATGATGAATGAGTTTAACTTTGTTAATCCTTCAGTTACTTCCTCTCCTTAACATTGGTTCATTTATTTATTAGATTTTTGTGCCATTTTTATTACTTTTATAAGTAACTCAAGGCCGTGAACATACATTGTACTCCTTCCTCCTCTTTTTCCCTGTAACCACAACCCTGTGAAGTGAGTTGGGTTGAGAGAGTGTGATTGGCGGAATTAGAATTCCCAGTCCTTTGGTGATTGACCCAGAATCAACCAGTTGGCTTTCATGCCTAAGGCAGGACTAGACCTCATTGTCTCCTAGTCATTGGCCCAAACTTACCCAGCCAGCTTTCATGCCTAAGGCAGGACTAGAACACACTGTCTTCTGGTGATTGACCCAAAGTCACCCAACCGGATTTCATGCGTAAGGCAGGACTAGAACTCATTGTCTCCTAGTCATTGGCCCAAACTTACCCAGCCAGCTTTCATGCCTAAGCCAGGACTAGAACTCACTGTCTCCTGGTGATTGACCCAAAGTCACCCACCTGGATCTCATGCCTAAGGCAGAATTGGAACTCACAGTCTCTTGGTTTCTAGGGCAGCACTACACCAAACTGGGTTAACTAGTTTTATAGATTAAAACTCAACTGGTTTCATATATATATATGCTGGAAATGTTGCAATTGTCCTTCAGTAGAGGTCCTTGAAGACCCACCAAGAGAGCCAGCCAAGTCCTGGTGTCTTGTTCCAAGAAAAAAAAATCAACTATCAGAAGAAGATTGGGGTCTTGCCCTTTTCTGACCTAAACAAAATTGCATTATAAATATATTATCCAAGGGAAATTCTTTCCATCTTCTTTAGTGACCTATCTCATAATTAGCTACCCTGAGACCGACTGATCTGATTCCCTTTTTAACAATCAAGGTCAAGATTTCAACATGATGAAAATAAGGAGCAGAGCCTCCGATTAATAAGGGCTTCTTTTATTCATGAATTTGCTAGCTCGTTGGAACAAAACAGGATCTAGTATTCAATGTAGACGGTCGAAGATGGAAAGCGGGGCCAAGGGATCAAAACTTGACCTAGGCACAAATCCCAGGAATCCCTTAATTTTGCTCTCGTCGAAATTCACCATCCAACGACTTCCTTCTCCAGAACTGAAGAAGCTTCTTGGACGAGAAACGAAATGCTTTCAAGAGAAAAAACCCCCCAAGAAAGTCCACTTGCCTTTTGAGACGCACCTTTGGCACCACCATGACCTGGATGCTTGAGAATCCACATAGACAACCATCTCCCACCTTAATGTCAAATAAACCCTCGTGCTTTTCAGCTAGAAAAAGCGCATTGGATTGTTTCCATCCTGGTGTGATGTGATAATATTTACTCAACCAGATGTTAAAATAATAGCGTTGAATTGACATTCCATGTGGTTATCGCAGGGGCTGAGATAAGCTATCCTAGGTGAAAGGCTGAGGATTTGGCAGAGAGATCCAAAGAACTTCTCTGCACTTCTGCTTATCACAGCTCCTTATCAGAGAGATAATTTTTACCCTTGTCTTCCAAAAAACAGAGCAGGAGAGTAGCTCTCTAAAGACCATCACCAGCACTTCCTCCTCCTCCTCCTCCTCCTCCTCATCATCCTCCTCCTCCTCCTCCTCCTCATCATCATCATCATCCCATTCATATCTTCTCCCCCATTTTCTCTTGGCCAACAAGAGCAATTTCTGTAGGCATCTTCTTTTGTGATGGGAACCCGTTTTTATTTTCTCTGTTTCTTGATATATATGAATTTTCTGCTTCAAAGAGTTGCAGGGAACAAGACAGAAACTAGGAAGGTGTGGAGTGGACAAGCGGTGGAATTTTTATTCTCCTTCCTCTTCCTCCTCTTCCTCTTCCTCTTCCCCTTCCCCCTCCCTCCCTCCCTCTTCCTTCCTTCCTTCCTTCCTTCCTTCCTTCCTTCCTTCCTTCCTTCCTTCCTTCCTTCCTTCCTTCCTTCCTTCTTTCTTTCTTTCTTTCTTTCTTTCTTTCTTCAGAAATTGGATGCTATTTAAAGTATAAGCAGGCCTCAATCCTTCGTTTAGTGACAGTTCAAAGTTAGAACAGCACTGAAAGAAGTGCCTTAAAACCGCTCCTCACAGTTTCAACCCTCCCAGCATAGGCATGGTCACGTGATCAAAACGTGGGCGCTTGGCAACCGGCATACATTTACAATGGTGGCCGTGTCCCAGAGTCATATGACCGCCATTTGGGACCTTCCCAGCTGGCTTCTGGCAAGCGAAGTCAATGGGGGAAGCCAAAATTTGTTTAATGGCCACACGATTCATTTAACTGCAGTGATTTCCTTACCAAACATGATTTTAGGTCATAAAATCAGGCATAACACTCTTACCAATAGATCGCCTTGCTTAGCAACATAAATTCTGGTCCCCGTTTTGGCCGTACCTTTATTTTAGGGTACCTTTATTTTAGGGTTACCTCATGAGTTGGAAAAGTGTCCCATTCATTTTGTGGTACCTTTATTTTAGGGTTACCTCATGAGTTGGAAAAGTGTCCCATTCATTTTGTTCAGAAGAGCCAGTGGAAACTCTGGATTAGTGTTGCTCCACCTGGACAATTTTAAGAGGTGTGGACTTCAACTCCCAGAATTCCCCAGCCAGCATGGCTGGCTCGGGAATTCTGGGAGTTGAAGTCCACACCTCTTAAAATTGTCCAGGTTGGGAAACTGCTCGGGAGGCTACAGAAAATGGCGTTGTAGACCACACACGGCTATCTAGATTCTGTTTGAACAGAACTGTATCTGTATTTCTTAATTTTTTTTCTCTTCACCACCACTTCTATTTGCTCATCTCTCGTCCCATCTCTTCTACTTCATAAGCAGTCAGCGTCAGTGTCTTATAAACGTAGCAGATCCCAAGTCCCCCAAATCCATTGATTAGCAATATATAAATGCCAAGTCGGCCTAATCACAGTTTAGATTCCTTTCTTCACCTTGCCCGGTTATTATAGCCTTTTCTTCAGACCGATCCTTTTCGTTCTGGAGTAGAAGGCGAGATGGAGGACCTTGTGGTCTTCCGATCATCCACTTATTATCCACATTCTTTTCTGAAAATGAACTGCAAGTCAATGTCATCTTCCTTGTCAATCTGGCCTGCCTAATTAGCAGTGTTTGTGGGGAATCCCACAGGTCTCAGTCAGTGAGAGAGAAAAAAGATTTATTACTTGGTAAGGCCACACTTGGAATCCTGCATCCAGTTTTGGTCACCACGATATAAAAAAGATGTTGAGACTCTAGAAAGAGTGCAGAGAAGAGCAGCAAAGATGATTAGGGGACTGGAGGCTAAAACATATAAGGAACGGTTGCTGGAATTGGGTATGTCTAGTTTAATGAAGAGAAGGACGAGGGGGGACACGATAGCAGTCTTCCATTATCAGGGGCTGCCACAAAGAAAAGGGAGTCAAGCTATTCTCCAAAGCGCCCGAAGGCAGGACACAAAGCAACAGATGGAAACTAATCAAGGAGAGAAGCAACCTAGAACTAAGGAGAAACTTCCTGACAGTGAGAACAATTAACCAGTGGAACAACCTGCCTCCAGAAGCGGTGAATGCACCAACACTGGAAGTTTTAAAGAAGAAACTGGACAGCCATTTGTCCGAAATGGTATAGGGTTACCTGCCTGAGCAGGGGGTTGGACTTGATGACCTCCAAGGTCCCTTCCATCATCATCATCATCATCATCATCATCATCATTATTATTATTATTATTATTATTATTATTATTATTATTATTATTATTTACGGTGCAGCCCACATGGGCTGATCACCGCTCTAGCCACTAGGGAGGATGGATGGAGCATCTCCTCATCTGGACTGCTGAAGAAAGAGCAGCCGTGCCTGCGTTAACGTAACTGGGAAACGTGAAACTCCAGGGAAGAATTTTGTGTTATTTTAAGACTGTCTCTTTTGGCGTTTCTTCCCGGGTTTTACATCTGTTCTCTCTGTTCTTCCTTTGCCCTTCAGTGTGTTTGTAGACAGTAGTGACGTGATGGATGAGATCGGAGGGGTATAAAGGGAGACCACGGTGGCTCTGTGGGGAACCCTCTCTTTCATTGTCTTATTCCAGAGTGCGACTGGAGCTGCAACGTTTGCCACGGTCCCAACCGCACGGATTGCCTGCAGTGCATGGAGGGATATTTTCTCCAGCAAGGAGCTTGCGTTGAGCATTGTCTGCCAGCATTTTACAGGGAATCGGAAACGTGTCAAAGTAAGTCTTGATGTCTTGGCACAGGGACTTAACGTACAATTTTGTGCAATCATCTGAGAGGGCATGGTTCAAAAATCACAACAAACAGTTGGCTGTTTAAAAAAAATACAGCAGAGGTCCCCAACTTTTGGGGCACCAGGAAGAGAGGTTTTTCCGCAGACTGGAGGGTGTGTGGTTTGTGTGTTGCCTGCATCCCGTGGATGGGGCTTTGCTTTTTTATGTGGACCGGTTGCTGGCATGCCACAGCCCGGTACTGGTCCACAGACCAGGAGTTGGGGACCCCTGCACTACAGGTAGTCCTCGACTTACAGCGGTACATTTAATGACCATTCGAAGTTACAACAGCTTTCAAAAAAAGCGACTTGTGATCATTTTTCATACTTACGACCTTTGCCACATCCCCACAGTCATATGAACAGATTTTGGACACTTGGCCACTGACTCATGACGCTTGCAATATCCTGGAGTCATGTGATTTGAGCGTTTGTGACCTTCTGACAGGCAAAGTCAATGGGGAAGCCAGGTTCAGTTAACCACCGTGTTGCTAACTTAACAACTGCGGTGGTTCACTTAATAACTGTGGCAAGAAAGATCGTAAAAGGGGGCAAAACTCACTTAACGAATGTCTTGCGTAGCAAAAGAAATTTCAGGCTCAGTTGTGGTCGTACGTTGAGACTATGTGTAATCTTTCATTGGATAGGTAATGTCTCCAAGGGACCAGTTCAATAAGTAGCCAAGGCAAGTGGGAAAGTTTTTTTCCAGGCCTTTACCTGGCCCAGTGATGGCGAAACGTTTAGAGACTGAGTGCCCAAACTGCAATCCAAAACCCACTTATGCATCGTCGAGTGCTGAGTGGGTGTGGCCCATTGGCTGGGTGTGGCCCATTGGGTGGGCATGGCTGCTGTGGTAGTGGCAGACTGGGTGAGACTAAAAAGTTCAATCAATCAGTTCCAACTTTGCAAGATCTTTTTTTTCCCCGCAAAAAGTTGAAATTGACTGATTGAACCTTTTTTTTTTTTTTGCACATGGCGGTGGAGGCCTAAAGCGAAAAGGTTTTATAACACCCAGCTCAATGCCTAGGACTGGGGTGATGGTGCGTGTGCCCACAGAGAGGGCTCTGAGTGCCGCCTCTGGCACCCGTGCCATAGGTTCGCCACCACTGACCTGGCCTGTCACTCGGAGGAGGAGCTGCAAAGGATGTGGCCTTCAAGAGTTGGGTGATGCTGTCTAAGTTGCCTTAAAGCTCATATGGGAATTCTCTAAGTCAGTGGTTCTCAACCTTTTTAATGCCGCGACCCCCAACCGGTCGTAAGTCGAGGACTAAACCGGTCGTAAGTCGAGGACTAAACCGGTCGTAAGTCGAGGACTACCCAACTGGTCGTAGGTTGAGGACTTTCCCTGCCCGGGAGCGCCGCGCATGCGTGATTCCGCCCCCTGCGCCGGCCGAGGCGTAGCTGGCAAGCGGCAGAGACGGAGCAGGCCGACCACCAGCTGGCCCAGCTCAAGGGAGGTAAGGTACCCGCCGGAAAAGGGGGAAAAAATGGCGGACAGACTTGCTTGGGGAACCCCGTGAAATGGTTGATCGACCCCAAATGGGGTCGTGACCCATAGGTTGAGAATCGCTGCTCTAAGTGATGTATCATGAAGTAGCTCTTCTTAGGTTGAATGGTAATGCAGACAATGGGATGTAGCAGCATAGTTGGGAGAGCAATGGATTCCTCTCCTATCTCAGGCAACAGGCTGCTACTTCATCTCCGGTCAAGTTTGATAGGATGTTTCTCTAGGGAGGAACCAAGATTGCCCTGGATCTCCATCATCACATGGACTAAAACTATTATTGTGTTCCCCTTCGGTTTATATACATAAAGTAAGGAATCAATCTTAGCAGCTTTCCCAAATCTGCCATCCTTCACGTATGTTAGGAGAACTCCAAATATTCCCACCCAAACTACCTGGAATTCCTTGAAGCTGTAGTCCTAGTACATCTGGAAGACATCAAGTTGGGAAGGATGGCATGGATGATATATATCAGGGGTCCTCAACCTTGGCGACTTTAAGACTTGTGGACTTCAACTCCCAGAATTCCTCAGCCAGCTTTGCTGGCTGAGGAATTCTGGGAGTTGAAGTCCACAAGTCTTAAAGTTGCCAAGGTTGAGGACCCCTGATATATAACATAAGAAGGCACTTGAGGATGTCTCAAGGGAACAAATTAACTCATTTTATAATGCCAACAGGGAGAATCTTGGAAGCTAGATAAGCCTGGAATAAATGATTTGCTATAGAAGAGAATGTGTCTACGGGTTGAATTCTGGAGTCCTTGGTGTTCTCTGAGCTTGGTTCAACAACCAAGTGCACAGAGCACCAAGACTCTTAGAATTAGTGAGCCCAAAGGAACACTGCAGTGGAACTGAGGCAAAGAACGGCATTGGTGTTGACTGGGATTTGAATGGGAGATACTGGAAATTTCAAACTTATTGAAAACTGAGTGTCCGTTGGCTTCCATAAAGCTGCTAAGAAATCTTCAGAGTTGCCGTCATCAGGATGTTGAGCTCATCTTTACCGTTTTTTCATATAGTACCTGATTGTGTTTGCCATCCTGGTTTCTCAGGGGTGAGAAAAGCATAAAATGAATTGCTGTATCCCGTGTAATTTGGGAAGCACTCCTTTCTGAGTTTCTTACGGGCCTTTTCAGGATGTGATGATGACCGCTGCCTCCAGTGTGATGGGCCTGGGAAATGTGTGCGCTGCCAGCCTCCGTTCCTGCTCCTGGAATCCCATTGTGTCTTGTCTTGTGGAAAGCAGTTCTACGGAGACCGTGGAGGGCAGATATGCCTAGGTAAATGAATTCGTGCATTAAAAGTTAAACATCCTTGGTGCCCATCATTATTCCAACAATCATGCCTCGTTTAAGTAAAACCAAACCTTTTTTTTTAAAAAAAAAATTGAATTGTGGAACATATTATAGAAAAACCTCAGTAGAAGTCCTGTCTTATTTATTGTACTTTGTATTCAGTTGGCCACCTAATGAGAAGGAAGGACTCACTGGAGAAGAGCCTAATGCTGGGAAAGATTGAGGGCAATAGAAGAATGGGACGACAGAGAATGAGGTGGCTGGATGGAGTCACTGAAGCAGTAGGCCTGAGCTTAAATGGACTCCAGAAGATGGCAGAGGACAGGAAGGCCTGGAGGAACGTTGTCCATGGGGTCGCGGTGGGTCGGACACGACTTCTCAACTAACAACAACAATTCAGTTGGAATGATAACTCCACAATTAAGCAAATTCGGTGCATGATATCTTCGGGAACTTTTGGAAAAGATAATGATTAGGCTAGATAGATGATCCCCATCCTTTCATCCCTCCAGAAATTCTAGCTAATAATGTATGTGTCAACATCCAGCTCCAGAATCGCCAGGTTGATTAAGGGCCTGGAGGCAAAAACATAGGAAGAACGGTTGCAGGATTTGGGTTTGGCTAGTCTAGAGAAAAGAAGAACTAGGGGAGATATGATAGCAGTCTTCCAATATTTGAGGAACTGCCACAAAGACGAGGGGTCAGCTTATTTTCCAAAGCACCAGAAGACAAGACAAGAAACAACGGATGGAAGCTAATCAAGGAGAGACGCAACCTGGAATTAAGGAGAAACTTCCTAACAGGGAGAACAATTAATCAGTGGAACAGCTTGCCTTCAGAAGTTGTGGGTGCTTCATCACTGGAGGTTTTTAAGAAGAGACTGGACAGTCACTTGTCTGAAATGGTATAGGATCTCCTACTTGAGCAGGGGGTTGGACTAAAAGACCTCCAAAGTCCCTTCCAGCTCCATTCTGATTGATTGAATGGGGCCCACAAGCAAACTGGCCCTCAGTACAGCTCACACAACAAGGGTGTTATGTGGGCCATCACAGGGGGTCCCTAGAACTGTTAAGCAGCTGCATTCTGTACCAGCTGTTGCTTCTGAATATTCTTCAAAGATAGCCTCATGTAGCGCCCCTTGCGGTAGTCCAGATGCGAGATGACCAGGGCAGGAGTGACTGAAGGCTCGTTGACTTCACATTGTTGACATCTGATTGCAGCTAAAATAGGTGGCTCTTTAAATTAGCCTTCAGATTTCAGCCACATCAAGCCTCGTGGCAATCGTGTTCAAAGTTAAGTTTCCTTGACTATCAGTAAAGGAGTTACGTAACGGTGACCTTGTTTTCTCAGTTAAAGATGCCTATCCTAGAATCTCGCTTTTCCTTTCATGCTAGCTTGCCCCCAGGGATGCTTGGAGTGTGACGGTTCCACCAGCTGCCGAGTCTGTAATTCCAGTACGTTCCTTCAGAAAGGCCTTTGTGTCGCTGACTGTGGGCGTGGCTTCTACAACGACCCCCAAAATCGGCAGTGCAAATGTGAGTTTCCCCTCCGCCCATTATATGACAATCTGCGTCAGCTGCAGTTTCCCCCTTTTTTAAGATGAAAAAAAACCAACAACGATTTTACAAGGCCGCAAATTAGTGAGTGACGTTTATCTGCATCACAGGCATAATAGGCTGGGTTCACGCTACACTCTGAACTACAGTTTATCCTCAACCATGGTTTGTTGGATAAAAACCAGAGGTCTCCAAACTTGGCCACTTTTAAGACTTGTGGACTTCAACTCCCAGAATTCCTTAGCCAGCATGGCTATCTGGGGAATTCTGGGAGTTGAAATCCACAAGCCTTAAAAGTTGTCAAGTTTGGAGACCACCCCCCTGGAATAAATCAAGCTTGAATACATACAGTACAGTAAGATATAAACCAGGGGTAGTCAACCTTGGCTCTTTTATGACTCGTGGACTTCAACTCCCAGAATTCCTGAGCCAGCTAAGCTAAGCTGGCTCAGGAATTCTGGGAATTGAAGTCCACGAGTCATAAAAGAGCCAAGGTTGACTACCCCTGATATAAACCATGACTTGTAATCCATGGTGACTAGATCCATGCGCTAACATTTGCTGAAGGGCCTCCGAACACATGATGATTTATTAGGTTGCGTATTGTCAGTTTGAAGAAACCTGGCATTATATTCCTGCGTGTGTCACACTGGGGAAAATTTTTTAAAGGAAATTTTCTGACATTCTGCAAACTACAGCTCTGAGAATTCTTTTGAGAGAAATTTAGAACCATAAAGCATTTTAAACAGAAATATATATTTACCGTACAATATTGATCTAATAAAGGAGGATGTTCACTAACATTGATTTTATGCCTCCCTACGTATTCTTTCCTCATTTCTCCTGAAGCATCCTGGCTATTTTTAAATTGCTAGAAATTTCTTCTTGAGGTTCTGGCTCTTCTTTTGTCCCCCCCCCCCCATATTCAAATTCAAATTATATTTTGAATTTGATAAGGCAATATGAAAGCATAAAAGTATCAACCATCGTTCCAACAGAAAGACTCACGTCAATAACAATGTAAACTATGAAGAATGCCTAAAAGCTGACATTACTAACAAGAGGCTATGTAGTGTTACAAACAGTACAGTAAAGATTCTGATTAATGTAAATTTCGAAACTATTAAAATGATGAGGTGAAAATAGAACATTCAATAGAAACCTTATCCATGAATGACAGGTCAACTTAAATTGAGCAATGTATTTGTCCTTATGATCACAAATGGAGCCAGAATTTCCATTGCTAAAGAAGGTGGTTCTTGCCTCATTTTACGACTTTTGCCACTGTGGTTAAGTGAATCACACGGTCGTTAAGTGAATCCAGCTCCCCCATTGACTTTGCTTCTTTGGAAGCCATCTGCAGAGGTTGCAGAAGGGGATCACGTGACCTTGGAATACTCCAATAGTTGTAAATACATGCCAGTTGCCAAGTGCCCAAATTTTGATCATGTGACCACGGGGATACTGGGACAGCCGTACAGATAGTCCTTCACTTACAACCATTCGTTTAGTGACCATTCAAAGTTACAATGGCACTGAAAAAAGTGACTTATGAATGTTTTTCACCATTTATGACCTTTGCAGCATCCCCATGTCGACATGATCAAAATTTGGATGCTTGCCCATTGTCTCATATTCATGACGGTTGCCGTGTCCCGGGGGTCACGTGATCCCCTTTGGTGACCTTCTGACAGCCAAAGTCAATGGGGAAGCCATTGACACTTAAACTGTGTCACTAATTGCAATAATTCACTTAACAACTGTGTGGTAGAAGGTTTGTAAAATGGGGCAAAACTCACTTAACAAGTGTCTTGCTTAGCAACAGAAATTTTGGGCTTTAAATGTGGTCATAAGTCGAGGACTACCTGCAAACACGAAGGCCAGTTGTAAGTAACTTTACTGTTATAACCTCAAACAGTCGCTAAACGAATGGTCATAATGTTGAGACTCTAGAAAGAGTACAGAGAAGAGCAACAAAGATAATTAGGGAACTGGAAGCTAAAACATATGAAGAACGGTTGCTGGAATTGGGGATGTCTAGTCTAATGAAGAGAAGGACGAGGGGCGACAGGATAGCCGTGTTCCAATATCTCAGGGGCTGCCCCAAAGAAGAGGGAGTCAAGCTATTCTCCAAAGCTCCTGAAGGCAGGACAAGAAGCAACAGATGGAAACTAAGCAAGGAGAGAAGCAACCTAGAACTAAGGAGAAACTTCCTGACCGTTAGAACAATTAATCAGTGGAACAACCTGCCTCCAGAAGCTGTGAATGCTCCAACACAGGAAGTTTTTAAGAAGAGACTGGACAGCCATTTGTCCGAAATGGTACAGGGCAGTGGTGGCGAACCTATGGCACGCGTGCCAGAGGCGGCACTTGGAGCCCTCTCTGTGGGCACGTGCGCCGTCGCCCCAGCCCCGCCTCCCCCCGTGGGCCCCTCCTCACCAGCAGCCCCCCTGGAGGAGAATCGCCCCCGGGCGCAGCCCGCATAGAGCAGCGCAGCCAAGGACATAGCAGGCATCCGGGACAAGACTCCGCCCTCGCATCCTATAGCTTGCAGATGATGCTGTGATGATGATGCTGTGGGGTGTGGAAGGAAGGCGTGGCTGACATGGCGCTGCAGGGCTGCTTGGGCGATCTGCGGCAGGCCATGGAGGCGGTGCGTGGCCCTGTGGTTGGGTGGGGCAGGGAGCGGGTGGGGCGGAGCAGGCAGGGCGGGGGGAGGAGTGGGGGCGGGGGGCGGTTTTTGGGCACTCGGTCTCTAAAAGGTTCACCATCACTGGTATAGGGTTTCCTGCCTGAGCAGGGGGTTGGACTAGTTGACCTCCAAGGTCCCTTCCAACATTATTATTATTATTGTTGTTGTTGTTGTTGTTGTTGTTGTTGTTGTTATTATTATTATTATTATTATTATTATTATTATTATTATTATTATTATTATTATTATTATTATTATTATGTCAAGGACTATCTGTAATGCCAAAGTATAAAAATAAGGGTCTGTTCCACCTTTGAGGACTCCTGTTAACCATCAATTTCTGATGGATTTTGCATACTGGTGCACAAAGTTCAGGGACTTTATATGTTACGGAGGGAGTGTTGTGCCAGAGTAATTAATAAAGATTGCTGAATTTTGTATCTTCCTTTGGTTTTAGCTTCTGGGCCTGCTCCTGGGTTCAAGGCCAAGAGCCTCCTCTTGGTTGGAATCGGAGGGCTGAAACTTCTAGATGGTTCCTTGCTGGAAGTAGAAAACGTAGAGGACTATGGAGAAGGACTCCTCTTTCGCATGGCAGCCCCTCCCACCAACGGCAGGCTGGTGGTCCTGGCTGAAGGCAAAGAAAGGGAACAGGACCGTTTCACCTGGGAAGACGTGAAGGAACAGCGTGTTTTCTTTCTCCACGACAAAACGAAATCCAGGTGATTGGGTGGTTCTTTACATCTTCTGTTCCAGAGAATGGGAGGAGAATGGGAGAAGATCCCTCCGAAGAATGTAATCCCTTCAAACGGGGCTTAATTCTTAGAACGTTTCCTCCTGATCAATTGCAATTGATGGATTTAAAACTATTCCAGTTTTCCTGCAACTCTGGAAGCCGAGATGTAACGGATGTCCATAAGCCTTTCCCTTGAAAACGGGCGTTGTTTTTAGGTTTGGAATTCCAAATCGTGAAGGTCTTTGTTTCTTCAGAAATACAGTGCGCCATTTTGGACCTTCACGTAAGGGGTTGAAAAAGTGAACCGGTGAACGTTCCTTGGTGAAATCTAAATTTATAGGCAGATGGCATAAGAGAGATGTTCCTGGCTGTGAAACCAAGAGGCTATTGTAGGTCAATACAGTCTGGTGTAGTGGTTGAAGCACTGGCCTGGCAACCAGGAGGCTGTGAGTTCTAGTTCTTTCTTAGGTATGAAAGCCGGCTGGGTGACTTAGGGCCAGTCCTTCCCTCTCAGCCCAGTCCATCGCACAGGGTTTTTGTTGTGGGGAAAATAAGAGGGGGAGAGTATTATTATGGGGCCTTGAATTATACAATAGCAAATAAAAGTAGGTGTGATGATCCAGGGCAGAGCACAGAAGCAATGCAGTCAGCTGGCAATTCAAGCAGTTCTTTTATTGCTCCAAATTTTCCCCAAATGCTCCCACGTTTGCTGACAAGCCTCCAACACAAGAACACACACACACACACACACCTTCAGCCGACTCTGGCTGAAAGGAGGTTCAATTACAGTCTGCTTAGCACAGTGTTTCTCAACCTTGACGATTTTAAGGCATGTGGACTTCAACTCCCAGAATTCCACAGCCAGCATTGCTGGCTGTGGAATTCTGGGAGTTGAAGTCCACATGCCTTAAAATTGTCAAGGTTGAGAAACACTGCTTAGCATAAGAAAGTACTCAAGGCCATAGAGATAACAAGGAAGAAAACATAAACTTAAACGAGTCTGTTTGAATCCGAGCTTGCCTGAGCAGTTTTCAAAAGAGAGAATCCGAAATATAGTCCGAGGTCTTTAAACCTTCAAGTAACGTGTGGTCAGTCAATCCAATAGTCTTGAGTTTCCAGGTTTCCAAACAGAAGTCACAGAACAAGAGATCAGCAACAATGCACAACACTCCAAGGAATCAGCGTTTGTTCCTGACAAGTGCCCCTTCCCCACAGCATCTCCTTAAATCTCAGTCTCCAGGTGTGAAGAGGGGCGGGACGCTCTCCTCCTGAGTAGTTGAGCCTGCCTGCAATGTTCCCTCCTTCTTTCCATACTCCGTGCTCTATGATCAGGAGGGGGTGGCCCTTGTTCATCACCTGAAGTCTGCCTCTCCTGTTCCAATCCTGAAGGGTCCTGGCCTGCCTCTGGCTTGCTCTTCCCCACGTTCCTCTGAAACCACAGACCCCTCTCCCTCGACCTCCATAGGGTCCCATTCCAGTTCATTTTCCTCTGCAGATTCAGGCTCCGACGGAGGCATGACAGTGGGTTTCCTTTGGACAAGCTTGAAACCCCAGAAAAATGTACCGCTACTGCTCTTCTGAATGAATGAAAATGTGTACCTATCTACTGTACATAGTGATAAACTACATTTATATCAATATAATATCGTATTGGGGTTTCCTCTAGGAATGGCTCGTTTTTCCTGACACTCAGCTATCAACAATCTACATCTGAGCCAGTAATGTTCAGTGTTCAAGCTCTTTCAACTCAGGTAAGGTAGAAGATGGGTGGATTCGTATTTTTGAACAGGCTGGAGGGGAAAATGTATATTGACAGTATTTCTCTGTTTGTGTGTAAGATTGCAGTAATGGTGAGATGAAAATGTATGGATTTCTTACTTGTTTGATTGACGTCCCGTATCATCATGCATTTAAAACAAAAATGCAAAAACAAGAAAAAAAATAGATCCACAGTTTTTGCAGACTTACATATGATCCCCAGAACCAATTTAGGTCTTAAAGCAGCACATCGCTTACAGGAAGTCCTGAATTTAAAACCATCATAGAGACCGGAGAATTCAGTGTTCAGCGGTGCAGTCATTAAGTGAGACCATGCGACTGGATCTTGTAACCTTCCCTGATGGGTTCTCCGCCAACCTTTCTTGTTGGAAGCTGTCTGGGAAGGTCGCAAGTGGCGATCCCGTGAACCTACGGAAGGATCTGGACAGACTTGAACACTGGGCGCTATTTAACAAAATGAAATTCAATGGTGAAAAAAGTAAGGTTCTACATTTAGGCAAGAAAAACCAAATGTACAGGTATAGTATAGGGGGTACCTTGCTCAATAGTAGCAACTGTGAGAGGGATCTCGGAGTCCTAGTGGACAATCACTTAAATAGGAGCCAGCCGTGTGCTGCAGCTGCCAAAAAGGCCAACACAGTGCTAGGCTGCATTAACAGAGGGATAGAATCAAGATCACGTGAAGTATTAATACCACTTTACAATGCCTTAGTAAGGCCACACTTGGAATCCTGCATCCAGTTTTGGTCACCAGGATATAAAAAAGATGTTGAGATTCTAGAAAGAGTACAGAGAAGAGCAATAAAGATGATCAGAGGCCTGGAGGCTAAAACATGTAAGGAACGGTTGCTGGAATTGGGTATGTCTAGTTTAATGAAGAGAAGGACGAGGGGGGACATGATAGCAGTATTCCAATATCTCAGGGGCTGCCCCAAAGAAGAGGGAGTCAAGCTATTTTCCAAAGCACCTGAAGGCAGGACAAGAAGCAATGGATGGAAACTAACCAAAGAGAGAAGCAACCTAGAACTAAGGAGAAACTTCCTGACAGTTAGAACAATTAACCAGTGGATCAACCTGCCTCCAGAAGCGGTGAATGCTCCAACACAGGAAGTTTTTAAAAAGAGACTGGACAGCCATTTCTCTGAAATGGTATAGGGTTTCCTACCGAGCAAGGGGTTGGACTAGATGACCTGCAAGGTCCCTTCCAACTTTATTGTTATTATTATTATTACAATATAGGATGCTGTGACCATTGTAAATGTACAACAGTTGCCAAGTGCTGAGTTTTGATCACAGGACAGCAGGGATGCTGCACCAGTTGTAAGTTACTTTTTTCCAGAGCCATCGTAACTTTGAATGGTCGCTAAATGAATTGTCTGTAATTAATTCTAACCCTGCATGAAACTTTCTAAACATTTGTTGTTCTCCTCGCCCACTCTGCCCTTTTACTCAGTTTGCCATGGAGATGATAAATAATTTGAACATGACCCAAGGCAAGATTAGAATAGTAACAGAAGGACTGTGTGACTCTTCTCCCTGGCTTTCTGTCCCAGGTTCCTTACCTTCTAAAACTCTCACATCCTCTACCAAGGATACCATCTGTTCCACAGATACGGAACACTGTTGTAATTTTAAAAACAAAACAAAAACCCTGAATATCAAATATCGGCAGGATGTATCTCGATCATAACAACTTACAAAGTATAGTGTAAAGTATATGTATACTAAACAAAAACCAAACCCATCTGTTATTATTTAGTAAGAGCAGAATAACAGAGTTGGAAGGGACCTTGGTGGTCTTCTAGTCCAACCCCCTGCTCATGCAGGAGACCCTACCCCATTCCAGACAAATGGCTGTCCAGTCTCTTCTAAAAAAAAAAAGCTCCATTGTTGGAGCACCCACAACTTATGGAGACAAAGCCATTCCACTGATTAATTGTTCTAACTGTCAGGAAATTTCTCCTTAGTTCTAGGTTGGTTCTCTCCTTGGTTAGTTTCCATCCATTGCTTCTTGTCCTGCTTTGGAGAATAGCTTGACTCCTTCTTCTTTGTGACAGCCCCTCAAATACTGGAACGCTGCTATCATGTCATCCCTCGTCCTTCTCTTCATTAAACTAGAACCTGGAAGTCATTAAGCGAATTAGTGGTCCTTAAAGTAAAGCCACGGTTGTTAAGTGAACGTTGCATTCGTTGAGCAAACCTGTTGAAAGTAATGGGCATTTTTTTTGCTGGAAAACTTTTTGCGACAAAAGTCGCCGTCACATGACTGTGAGAAATGCCCACTGGCTGCCAAGTGCCCGAAATGCAATCATCTGCCATGGGGGTGGGGGGGGAGGAGTGCCATCAGAACTTTGAATGTTAGGCATAATTGTAAGAAATTATGAGAAAGAGTATATATATTTAATTTTACATATATTAACTGCAGCAATCCGCTGAACACTGGAAAAATGAAGATTTACCAACGGAGGAAGAGTTAATTAAAAAAATCTTAAGAGTGTGCAGAAATGGATAGAGCAGGGGTAGGCAACCTTGGCTCTTTGATGACTTGTGGACTTCAACTCCCAGAATTCCTGAGCCAGCATTGCTCAGCTTGGAAACCTCTCCCTTTCCCCTCAGCATGGCTGGCTCAGGAATTCTGGGAGTTGAAGTCCACGAGTCACAAAAGAGCCAAGGTTGCCTACCTCTGGGATAGAGTGACACTGAAAATGAAAAAGAAAGAAGATTCAGTTTATTTTAGAACATGGGATATCTTTTATCATTGGCTAGAAAAAGGAGGTAGAGAGAAAGGAACTTAATATGTATTAGCAAGTTAAATGTTGGAACCCAGACAATATGTTGCTGATAAAATATTAAGCACTTGTGATTATAAAACATTTATATATATACCAGCAACTCAGGAACTGATTTTTGTTGTTGTTATTCTATTTCAGTCTCCTTATGTCCTCAAGAATGAAGTTCTCTTTGTTAGCAAAGGAGATGCTGGAACCATCACCAACCACTTGCTTGATATCCAGGATAGGGATAATCCTCAAGATGTGACGGTGACTATTTTAGACCCTCCAAAACATGGGCAATTAGTCAAACTTCCAGGAAATGGCCCATTGACTCTGCATGTCTTCAGCCTTGATGAACTTTCGGGAGGATTCATGCATTACATTCACGATGGATCTAACAGTTTGGAAGACACCGTGGTTCTGCAAGTGAGCGATGGGTACCACGTTCAGAATTTACTCTTTCGCATCAAGATTGATCTAAAGGTAAGACCTCTGAAGTTGTACCGGGAGTGCTTAATTTGATGCCCAACAGCGTTGAGAGGGTAATGACCATAATCCTTGACTGTTGGTCATGATGGAGCTAATAGACAGTTTGGTCTAGTGGTTGAGGCACCAAGCCAGAAAGCGGGAGACGTGAATACTAGTCCCGCCTTGAACATGAAAACCGATTGGGTGACTTTGGGCCAATTACCAGAAGACCATGAGTTCTAGTCTCGCCTTAGCCGTGAAACACAGCTGGGTGGCTTTGGACCAATCATTCTTTCTCAGACTAACTCATCTCACAGGGTTGTCGCTGAGGGGAAAATAAGAGGAAGAAGGTATATTGGATACGTTTGCTACCTTGAGTTGTGTATAAAAATAATAAGGGTGGAAAATAAATAAATTAATTGTAGTTGCTCATACGTTAATGGGCAGAACCATTACTACCATGTTATCCTTATATTATAAGGGCTACATAGGCTGCTGTTTCTTCCCTTGTATAAGGTACTGAATGTAAATCTAAAATCTTACATGGTTTGGGACCAATTTGGTCTAGTGGTTAAGCACCAGGCTAGAACTCTTGAGATCTAGTCCTGCCTTAACCATGAAAGCCAGCTGGGCGACTTTGAGCCAATCGCCAGGAGACTGTGAGTTCTAGTCCCGCCTTAATGAAAGGCAGCTGGGTGACTTTGGGCCAATCACCAGCAGACTGTGACTTCTAGTCCCGCCTTAACAATGAAAGCCACCTGGGTGATTTTGGACCAATCACCAGCAGACTGTGAGTTCTAGTTCCGCCTTAATGAAAGCCAGCTGGGTGACTTTGGGCCAATCACCAGCAGACTGTGAGTTCTAGTTCCGCCTTAACAATGAAAGCCAGCGGGGAGACTTTGGGCCAATCACCAGGAGACTGTGAATTCTAGTCCCGCCTTAACAATGAAAGCCAGCTGGGTGACTTTGGGCCAGTCACCAGGAGACTGTGAGTTCTAGTCCAGCCTTAGTCATGAAAGCCAGCTGGGTGACTTTGAGCCAGTCACTCTCTCTCAGCCCTCACAGGGCTGTTGTGGAGAAAATAGGATGAGGAAAGAGTATTGGATATGTTTGCCACCTAGAGTTATTTGTAAAAATATAAAAGTGGGATACATATAAATAAATAAAAATAGTGTAACAGTTGTACATTCCAGTCCACATTGTAGACCTAACACACAGTGTTATACTTATTTACTTAGAAGTCATTTAAAGGACTCACTTCAAAGGAAATATTCATGCAGCTTTAAATCAACTTCTCTTTCCAGAAATTGCTGGCTACACTTGTTCTGTCCCCAGGGGTATCTCCGTCAAAGCGTTTTTCATTTTTTCCACAGCCTGTAATTTGTAGGGAGTTGGAGGTGAGAAAAGCATGTCAATTGAAAGAGACAAAAATGTCCATATGCATAGAAAATATCAGGAAGACCCATTTGGCTTCCTCCTTTTAATTTTAAGTATGTTGTATTAAATCAATTAGCAAAAGAAAAGTATAAATATATATAATAGTATTAATGGCAGCTGCCAACAAAAGTGCGTATAGTCAAGGCCTGGGTTTTCCCAGTTGCAATGTGTGGCTGTGAATGTTGGACCATAAGAAAGGCTGAGCGCCAAAGAATGGAGGCCTTTGAACTATGGTGCTGGAGAAGACTCCTGCGAGTCCCCTGGACTGCAAGGCGATCAAACCGGTCAGTCCTAGAGGAGATCAACCCTGACTGCTCTTTAGAAGGCCAGATCCTGGAGTTGAAACTCAAGTATCTTAGCCACCTAATGAGAAGGAAGGACTCACTGGAGAAGAGCCTGATGCTGGGAAAGATTGAGGGCAAGAGAAGAAGGGGACGACAGAGAATGAGGTGGCTGGATGGAGTCACTGAAGCAGTAGGCGTGAGTTTAAATGGACTCCAGAAGATGGTAGAGGACAGGAAGGCCTGGAGGAACGTTGTCCATGGGGTCCCGATGGGTCGGACACGACTTCGCAACTAACAACAACAACATTAATGGCAGAATATAGGTAATCCTTGACTTAACAATAGTTCATTTGAAGTTGCAGTGGAACTGAAAAAAATGATTTATGACTGTTTTTGACACTTAGGACCATTGATCACATGGTCATGTGATCGAAATTCGGATGCTTGGCAACGGACTCATATTTATGACTGTTGACATGTGATCCCCTTTTGTGACCTTATTACGAGCAAAGTCAATGGGGAAGCCAGATTCACTTAACACCCGTGTTACTAACTTTGTAACTGCAGTGATTCACTTAACAACGGTGTCAAGAAAGGTCGTAAAATGGAGCAAAATTTTTCACTTAGCAACAAAAAGAGTGGGCTCAATTGTCGCAAATTGAGGATTACCTGTAAAAACAAGAATGAGTTATTCTTATCCTAAAAAAAGAGGTGGGGGGGGAGAAAAGAAAAAAAGAGGAGACCCGGAAAGTAATATCGTAAAGAGAAAAAAACGTTGGTTCTAACATGCTTCTTGGAAATAAGTGATCAGTGGTGTGCATTAGGTGTGAATTAGTGATGAGTGAAACACAGCTGAGTGATGAATCTGCCAAAGGATAAAATTAACACATAGGGAGATATACAATTTAGGGCTTTGATTAAGATGTCCATTAAGAGTAGCAGATGTGAAACTTGGCTGCATCTGCCTTCCAGAATTTTATGACACAGATATATTGTCTTGCAACGATGTGGCTAGGCGTTGTGTGAAGTGTGATTCAGTCATAGGCCAAACTTTGGAAAAAGTGCAGAGAAGAGCAACTAAGATAATTAAAGGTCTGGAGATGAAAACGTATGAAGAACGGTTGCAGGAATTGGGGATGGCCAGTCTAGAGAAAAGAAGGAGTGACATGGTAGCAGTTGTATTTGAGGGGCTGCTACAAAGAAGAGGGGGTCAACTTATTTTCTAAAGCACCAGAAGGCAAAACAAGAAACAATGGATGGAAACTAATCAAGGAGAGAAACAACCTGGAATTAAAGAGAAACTTCCTAACAGTGAGGACAATTAACCAGTGGAACAGCTTGCCACCAGAAATTGTGGGTGCATCACTGGAGGATTTTAAGAAGAGACTGGACAGCCACTTGTCTGAAATGGTATAGGGCAGGGGTAGGCAACTTTGGCTCTTTTATGACTCGTGGACTTCAACTCCCAGAATTCCTGAGCCACCCGGCTCAGGAATTCTGGGAGTTGAAGTCCACGAGTCATAAAAGAGCCAAGGTTGCCTACCCCTGGTATAGGGTCTCCTGCTTGAGCAGGGGGCTGGACTAGAAGACCTTCAAGGTCCCTTCCAGCTCTATTCTGATTGAGCGATTGAACTCTGGAAATCTAGTTGCGTCTTAATTATCCTATTTTGATTCTGCATTCCTTTAATCCTGTGGCTCTTGTCTTCTTCGGTTTCCTGAATTAGATTTTAATAGCAATTAGGTATGAGCCTTAGCAGATGTTCCGGGTTTTGTTTTATAAGGTTCTAAAATATGATAAAAACCCTCTACCTTTGCCATCTTAAATTTTTAGCTCCTTTTGAACTACTATACTACTGATTTGAAGATATTGAAATTAATGAGGTGTTTCAGACTATTCCTAGCAGTGAGTCTCGAAAGATTTCATCTTTGTTTGATTAAATGTTAAATCTTGCAGTCTATAGGAATCATTATCCCTGCCAATCAACCTTTTACCACGTTAGCTTTCATGAAAATAATGTTTGAGCAAGAGACGATGAAACCTGGGTTTATTTTTCTTTTACATTTATCCCACAGTTTAAATAAGCTATTTATAATTATGCGATCTCTTATAATACACTGAGTACTTCTATTTGTATCACGGCATTTCTGCAGTTCTTCTGAAACTCCTAGCAGAATAACAGAGTTGGAAGGGACCTGGGAGGTCTTCTAGTCCAACCCCCTGCTCAAGCAGCAAACCCTATACTTTGTCATACAAATAATTGTCCAATTTCTTCTTACAAACCTCCAGTGTTGGAGCACCCACAACTTCTGAAGGCGAGTGGTTCCACTGATTAATTGTTTTCACTGTCAAGAAATTTCTCCTCAGTTCTAGGTTGCTTCTCTCCTTGGTTAGTTTCCATCCGTTGCTTCTTGTCCTGCCTTCAGGTGCTTTGGAGAATAGGTTGAACCCCTATTCTTTGTGGCAACCCCTTATATATTGGAACATTGTTACCATTTCACCCCTAGTTCTTCTTTTCATTAAACTAGACCAGGGGTAGGCAACCTTGGCTCTTTTATGACTCGTGGACTTCAACTCCCAGAATTCCTGAGCCAGCATGGCTCAGCTTGGAAAGTCTCCCTTTCCCCTCAGCATGGCTGGCTCAGGAATTCTGGGAGTTGAAGTCCACCAGTCATAAAAGAGCCAAGGTTGCCTACCCCTGAACTAGACAACCGTTCTTCGTATGTTTTAGCCTCCAGCCCCCTGATCAGTGGTGGGATTCAGCCAGTTTGCACCAGTTTGGCAGAACCAGTAGCTAATTTTTTGTTGCCCAGGCCCAGAATGGACTTCCGGAAGCGGCATCCATCCAGAGACCCAGTTGTTCACATATTTGAATCCCAGCACTGCCCCTAATCCTCTTTGTTGCTCTTCTCCACTAAGTCTCCGCATCTTTTTTATAAGGAGGTGACCAAAAGTGGATGCAATATTCCAAGTGTGGGCTTACCAAGGCGTTACAAAGTGGCATTTAGGAATTATGTCATCTGAAAGTTAGCTAAAAAATTTCAGTACGTGAAAAGACAGGTAAGTTCTCAGGTTACCACAACAATTGGAATTAGCATTTCTGTCACTAAAGACATACCCAATTCCAGCAACCTTTCCTTGCACAGATGGTCCACAACTTGCAACACTTCATTCAGTGACCGTTCAAAGTTACCACTGCACTGAAAAAAGGGACTTAGGACCATTTTTTCACACGATCGTTGTGGCAGCCCCACGTGTCCAAAATTCATACATTTGGCAACTGACTCATATTTATGATGGTCGCAGCGTCCCGGGGTTACACGATCTCCTTTTGCGACCTTCTGACAAGCAAAGTCGATGGGGGAAGCCAGATTCACTGAACAGCCAGGTTGTTAACTTAACAATTGTAGTGATTCACTTAACAACGGTGGCAAGAAAAGTCGTAAAATGGGGCAAAGCTCACCTAACAACTGTCTTGCTTAGCAACAGAAATTTTGGACTCAATTGCGGTTGTAAATCAAGGAATCCCTGTAGTTTACTGTATGTTCAGTACAACAATAAGCTTATAAAATCAAATTTTGAAAGCACTATGCCAACGAAGAAGGAAAACATTCTTGTATCTCATTCATTACCTGAATTAATGGTCCCATGGAAATTTCTTTGAAAATCTTACAGTATTTTGCAGAATACTGGTTCTGGGACTTGATGCAATTTTGTTTCCTTTATTTCATCTTTGGTAATTGGCTTGTTAAGCAATTCCTTTTGCTGATCTGTAAATTTCATAATCTAGCGTTGTGTCCAAATACTCTATAATCTTTTACAAACTTGGCATCTGTTTTCCATACAGTTGAGAATAGTATTTAACAAACTGATTTATCATCTCTTCTGAAGCTGAAATTTAATTCTTTCCATCCCAATCTGAAATGATAGTTGCATTTTTTGGCATTTTAATGTGTTTTATTATGAACTACTCAGAAAACTTTGAATATTGGGTGGTTTAATTTTTTTTTAAATAAACACATAGTTCTCTTCCCAGTTGATAGGCCAATAATTTTTCTCAGAATACTTCTGCTTAAGAAAGTTCATCTTCTTCTAAGATTCATTTACTTCCAAAAGGTCTACTTGATAATGAATTGTCTTAATTTTTGTTTCTTTATCCAGCGTCAGATTCTGTTTGAGTCTTGATCCCACCAGACTCATTGAACAATATAACTTTCAGCTTTCGTTTGCTTTCTGTTCAATATAAATAAATAATCCCATAATACTTTACTGGATTTCCATACTGCGAATAAAGAAACAGCAGAAATTGAATTAGTTTGGAAGAAGCTCTTTAATTCAAATTGGTATCAGTTTGATACCTTCTTGTACTAATAATTAAGTGCTCAAACTTAGTGAAAAAAGTGACATCACTATTTTTCACACTTACAATCATTGCCGTCCCCCCGGTCACATGATCAAAATTTGGACATTTGGCAATTAGCACGATGGTTGCAGTGTCCCATCTAACAAGCAAAAGTCAGTGAGGAAGCTAGATTCGTTTAACAACCGTATTACTAACTTAACAACTGCAGTGATTCACTTAACAACTATGGCAAGAATGGTCGTAAAATGGGGCAAAAACTCACTTAAGAGCCCTGCTGGCGCAGTGGTTAGAATGCAGTATTGCAGGCAAACTCTGTCCACAGCCTTGAGTTTGATCCCGACAGGCTCAAAGTTGACTCGGCCTTGCATCCTTCCAAGGTCGGTAAAATGAGAACCCAGATTGTTGGGGGCAATAGGCTGATTCTGTAGACCGCTTAGAGAGGGCTGTGAAGTACTGTGAAGTGGTGTATAAGCTATTCTGTTCTACTCTACTCTACTCTACTCTACTCTACTCTACTCTACTCTACTCTACTCTACTCCATTCTATTCTATTCTATTCTATTCTATTCTATTCTATTCTATTCTATTCTTTCCTATTTTCTATTCTATTCTATTCTACTCTACTCTACTTTATTCCATACTATACTATTCTATTCTATTCTATTCTATTCTTTCCTATTTTCTATTCTATTCTTATTCTTTTCTATTCTATTCTATTCTATTCTATTCTATCCCATCCCATCCCATCCCATTCCATCCCGCTGTGATGGCTCAGTGGTTAGCTTGCAGTATTGCAGGCTAACTCTGCTCATTGCTAGCAGTTCAATACTGACTGGCTCAAGGCTCCGAGGTCAGTAAAATGAGGACCCAGATTGTTGGGGGCAATAGGCTGGCTCTGTAAGCTAATTAGAGAGGACTGTGCAGCACTGTGAAGCGGTATATAAGTTTAAGCGCTATTGCTATTAACTACTGTCTTGCTTAGCAATGGAAATGCTGGGCTCAATTGCGGTCATAAGTCGAGGACTATCTTCATTTCCTATTTTCCCCGAATAAATATTATTTAAGCAACAAATCTGTGTGTGGTTTTCGCGCAGCATCTTCTCTTCTACCATGTGCCGGTCTGTATGTTGTGTTACTGAGTTGTTTCTGAAAAACAAACTCATCTCTTATGCCCAGATTTCTGCACAAGTGATTTAAGAAGCCTATTCCTTTTTATTTAATCGTTTTTTAATTGCTGTTGATCTCACATGGTAATTGCAGAAAAGTGTTTTGGGGTTTTTTTTTGGAGCCATGGATTAGTGGTGCTTTTGGGGGAATTTTAGCTACCGAGAGCTGTGCTGAATCTTGACACCACTCTAGCAGTTTTGTTTGCGAACACCTCAAAAATATATCGGAAAAGGAATAACTGGATCTATATTTGATTGCAGGCAGGTACTGAAAAAACGGGGACGGTCACCCTTTCAAACAATGAGCTATAGATAAGTATAGAAGAAAAATATTGTGAAGTCTAGGGCATTCCCCTTTTAAAAAAATGCATATATACTTAGGAGTACGCAAAAGAAGAACAGGCAGAGCTAGGAGTTAAACGAGATTAATGTCCAGCATTCAGTTGCAATTCAGAAGAATTTATTGCTCAAGGTTCTACACAAGAATCTAGTCAACTAATGTTCAAATCTGAATCAGCACCAGAATTCAACGGAATACAAGGGAGTCTGGCCTTGGATCGTTTGTGGCAATGTAAGGACTCTTACATTAAGAAAACCAAGATCACGGCATCCGGCCCTCTCAATTCCTGGCAAATAGATGGGGAGGAAATGGAGGTAGTGACAGATTTTGTCTTCCTGGGCTCCAAGATCACCTCAGATGGGGACTGCAGCCAAGAAATTAAAAGACGCTTGCTCCTGGGGAGGAAAGCTATGGGAAATCTAGACAGCATACTAAAAAGCAGAGACATCCCCCTGCCAACAAAAGTACGTATAGTCAAGGCCATGGTTTTCCCAGTTGCAATGTATGGCTGTGAAAGTTGGACCATAAGAAAGGCTGAGCGCAAAAGAATGGAGGCCTTTGAACTATGGTGCTAGAGAAGACTCCTGCGAGTCCCCTGGACTGCAAGGCGATCAAACCGGTCAGTCCTAGAGGAGATCAACCCTGACTGCCCTTTAGGCCAGATGCTGAAGTTGAAACTCAAGTACTTTGGCCACCTAATGAGAAGGAAGGACTCACTGGAGAAGAGCCTGATGATGGGAAAGATTGAGGGCAATAGAAGAAGGGGACGACAGAGAATGAGGTGGCTGGATGGAGTCACTGAAGCAGTAGGCCTGAGCTTAAATGGACTCCAGAAGATGGTAGAGGACAGGAAGGCCTGGAGGAACATTGTCCATGGGGTCGCGATGGGTCGGACACGACTTCGCAACTAACAACAACAAAGGACTCTTAATTGATGACACATTTAATTTCACCACCAGCCGGGATCTGCCTGCTCTTCTACAAAAGTTTCCATGATTGTTCAAAACAAAACAAATCTCTCGGATTTCACCCTGAATACAATAAGGTAATTGTGTGAACGGATTGCACAGCGTTGCTTTTAAAGCATAATGGATTTCTGAATAGATTCTCTATTTTCTACTGAGTAAAACAACCTACTTTAATGAGCTCATTGACCTACCATCCCAGGCCTTAAAGAGCATCCAGAACTGTTCCCAATGAGCTCGTTAGGATTCTCTTAGCAATTAGAAGCACAGCAAAATTAATTATAATAATAATGATGGAGGACAGGGGTTTAATGGATTCAATCTGCATCCCCGTTTTGCAGATTTGCACTTAGTTGTAACTTAAAATAGCCTCTTTGCTCTGGTTACCTCTTTCAGCGAGCTCCCCTGGTGCTGGAAACTCTCGGAGACTGCTTAACTGGGTCCACAGCTGAGCCAGAGTTTACTGTGGTTGAATAAGTCACAAAGTACAGAGTTAAACTCTGAACCATTAGCTCTGGGGATGACGGGGTTATTTTCAAAGTCCAGGGAGATTCTCAGTCATCCATTATAGTGGGTTTTAGGACAGGACAAATAATTTAATTAGTTTTTAATATTTTTAAATATTATGGTATCGCTGTTTTATTAATGTGCCTGTTCACCGCCCTGAGTCCCGCAAGGGAGAAGGGCGGTATATAAATCAAATAAATTGAATTGAATTGAATCCAAGTCACAGTTGTCCCAAAGGTGCTTTTTCAAAAGGCAACTGGACTTTCTTTGTTTTTCCTTCGGGAAAACTGAGGAAGCCTCTGAATGAGAAGCGAAACGTCTTGAAGCAAAAACAAAGGAAGTCCAGTCGCCTTTAGAAAAGTACCTTTGGGATATTTTCAAAGGTGGCTGTACTCTTAACAGACCCGACGTGGCAGCCTTTTTTATTATTTTTTTGAACTGGGTCCTCAGTAGATCTTGAGTTGATTAGCAATCGATGGTGACATAGAAGGTGGGTATCCTTTGAGGAGCTCCTGCATCCATTTTGAGTTAGATCTTTGAAGACTGAGGGTGCTCTGGGAATGGGTGTAAAACGTAAATGAAATTATGGTGCTTTCGATCTCTAGCCTGGCTTCTGATGTCTTGCGCCTGAAACCAATGCCACTGTTAGAGCATTCAGTTGGTCTCTGGGTAATGTATAGAATGGCAAACCTTTTAGAGACTGAGTGCCCCCAAAACCCCGCCCCACTCTGCCCCCATCCCCGCTCCGCTGCCCTGCCCCACCCCGCCCACCCGCAGGGCTATCCACAGCCACCATGGTCCCCCGCCGCAAATCACCCAGGTGGCCCAGCAGCGCCATGGCGGGCATGCCCTCTGTCTGCGCCCCGCAGCATCATCTGCGCGACGGGGCGCGAGAGCAGAATCTTGTCCCCGCTGCCCGGCTGCCATGTCCTTGGCTGCACTGCTCTGCATGGGTCACACCGAGGGGCGACTCTCCTCCGGGGGGCTGCTGCTGAGGAGGGGGCCATGGAGGCGGGGCTGGGGGGACGGCACACGTGCTCACAGAGAGGGCTCTGAGTGTACCTGTGGCACGCGTGCCATAGGTTCTCCACCATTGGTATAGATTGCCATGCCATTGGAAATTCAGCTTGTTCATTGTTTTAAGATGTCACCTTAAGATGTGTTACACGGATCTTCAAAGACTCTGGTTGTTCTCATCTTCCAACCTTGCCGCCCGGTTCATTGCTTCGTTTAATGACTTCCTGCATTTTCGGTCTTCTTTGCAGAGCCGTGGGATTCCCCGCCTGGTTATCAGCTCTACCGTCTGGGTCCCAGAGGGAGGCATGTTGCAAATCACAAAGAAAAATCTGCAAGCTGAGATGCTGGGGGCCAGTGATTCTGCGATCGTCTATACAATTAGGGACAAGCCACAATATGGTAAGTTGGGATGTATGAAACCTCTTGGGTTGTTAAGTGAATCTGGCTTCCCCTTTGACTTTGCTTATAGAAGGTTGCAATAGAGGGGATCACATGACCCCAGGACACTGCAACCATTATAAGTACATCAGTGCAGATGCCCAAAGTTCAAATTTTGATCAGCTGACCACAGGGTTGCTGCAAATGTGAAAAATGGTCATGTCACTCTTTTTCAGTGCCATTGTAACTTCAAATGGTCACTAAACGAATGCTTGCAAGTTGGGGCTATCTGTCCTTCCTTTAGAAGTTGTGGGTGCTCCATCACTGGGGGTTGTTAAGAAGAGATTGGACAGCCACTTGTCTAAAATGATAATAGGATCTCCTGCTTGAGCACGGTGTTGATAAAAGACCTTCAAGATCCCCTTCAACTCTTATTCTACATTCTGTTATATTTGTTAGGGTGAGAGTAGCAAAGGTTAAGTCTAGCAGGATTCTGCAGGCAGGTTGTTCCACTGATTAATTGTTCTCACTGTCAGGAAGTTTCTCCTTAATTCTAGGTTGCTTCTCTCTTTGGTTGGTTTCCATCCGTTGCTTCTTGTCCTGCATTCAGATGCTTTGGAGGATAGCTTGACTGCCTCTTCTTTGTGGCAGCCCCTGAGATATTGGATCACTACTATCATGTCACCCCTAGTCTTTCTCTTCATTAGACTAGACCAGGGGTAGTCAACCTTGGCTCTTTTATGACTCGTGGACTTCAACTCCCAGAATTCCTGAGCCAGCATGGCTCAGCTTGGAAACTCTCCCTTTCCCCTCAGCATGGCTGGCTCAGGAATTCTGGGAGTTGAAGTCCACGAGTCATAAAAGAGCCAAGGTTGACTACCCCTGGTCTAGGCCTAGGCCGCTTTATGACTCGTGGACTTCAACTCCCAGAATTCCTGAGCCAGCATGGCTCAGCTTGGAAACCTCTCCCTTTCCCCTCAGCATGGCTGGCTCAGGAATTCTGGGAGTTGAAGTCCACGAGTCATAAAAGAGCCAAGGTTGACTACCCCTGGTCTAGTCTAATGAAGAGAAAGACTAGGGGTGACATGATATTGGAACACTGCTATCCTGTCCCCCCTCGTCCTTCTCTTCATTAAACTAGACATACCCAATTCCTGCAATCGTTCTTTGTATGTTTTAGCTTCCACTCCCCTGTCCCCTGTGCTCATGTAGAGCTGAGAAGAACTGAGCCTTTTTCTTGCAACCTTGCCTGGTGTCTACATGAGACCTAGCATGCTCATTAGGTAAACATGAACTAGTCACTAAATTCCACCCACCTTACGTCCCCTACCTGTTCTAAGAATACCATGAATAGGAAGAGATCTTTGCTTGTATATTAAACTCTTATAAGATCTGGCGATAGATACACATATCCTTAATAGGTTTTTTTAAAAAATGGAAGAGATAGATCATTAAATAAATGAGTTATGTCAAATCATCTCTCTAAAATTGTATGCCACTCCATCCTTGGCATAAGAGAAAAATGCCATGTGCCCGAACTTTCCCATCTTATTGTCTCTGATGCGATCAGAGCTGTCAGTTCCATTTACAGATCTCTGCCTCCCAGCTTTCTAAAAATCTCACAAGGTTGTTAAAACTCAATTTTGGCAGCATCACCTTGAGACTTTGTCAAAATCTCACGAGACCGATGGCAGTGTTTCAACTATATAATTTTTTTTGAAAAAGAATGATATAATTTGGAGTTCATGGGTCCAGAAAAAATGTTATGGACACTGGCCAAACTCTGCCTAAGGCAATCCTGCAGAATTTTTCATGGCCAGTTCAAGATCTGCCTTTTTGATGCTGTGGCTGGTCAAAAAAAACCCCTCCCATTGTTCTTCCTGCTAATTGTTACTGAGCTTGAGGAAGGAACATGCATTTATTTAATGCAATTTCGAGGTTGCCCAACTCCTTAATGACTCTGGCTAATTTATATTTGAAAGAATTAATAGACAGACAGACGGACAACCCATAGAAGACAACATAGTACCAATAAAAAAAACCCAATGGGAACTCTGCAACCATCCTGGGAGACCCACTGAAAGAACCACCAGGTTTTCAAGTTTTTTTGTAACTGCCATTCGGGTTGAAGCTGCATGAATCTCTGGGAGAGAGGCAGAGAAATCGTCCACTTCAAATTTCTCTAAAATTAGGTAGAGAATTTTGAAAGCTTTTCAAGCCCAGCCTAATGATGGGCCTCAAGCTGGACTTGAGAATAGGTCACTGTTCTGTGAACTTGTGAGGGTCCATAATAGAAATTTATTTTATTTATTTATTTATTTTACAAAATTTATATGCCGCCCTTCTCCCCATGGGACTCAGGGCGGCTCACAGCATGTTAAAACAATATACAGAATTACCCCTTCTAAAAACCAATTAAAATCCAAATATTAGTGGCTGTGACTATTTAAAATCATTAAAAATTATCCCTATTTAAAATTCACCCTAGGTCAGNGCGCTTTAAAGGTGGTGACTAGCACCTTAAAGCGTACCCGGAAGGCCACTGGCAACCAGTGCAGCTCGCGCAGCAGCGGCGTTACATGGGAGCGACGTGTCGCTCCCAACACCGCCCGCGCGGCCGCATTCTGGACCAGCTGGAGCCTCCGGATGCTCCCCATAGGGAGCCCCATGTAAAGAGCGTTACAGTAGTCCAGTAGTCCCCATGTAAAGAGCGTTACAGTAGTCCAAATGTATAGAAATGTAATCTGTCAGGAGCATGCACAGTCTTATTGCACTGAGATAACTCAGGAGTAAACACAGTCAACAGTGGTCTATATTAAATGGCGGTTTATCTAACACTATCTACAATATTATACATCAGGAACAATACACCTACAAGTGGTAATACAGCAGACTCCAACACACAGCAGTTACAGCAGGAAACGGGTGAGAGAGAGACACTCCAGCAAAAGCCTTCCCTTTTATACTCAGGCTCTTAAAGGGATACAGACCCTGCTTGCTCTTTAAGAGACACAGTCCCTGCTATTCCTATCATTGCATCATCCACTTTATATTACATTACATCATACATCTCACATTATACAAGCTGGTTAGCTGTTAAATTATTACCTTGACATAATCTGAAAAGACTATATTGCTTATAATTATAGAAAGTGCCTACCTACATACAAACATATGTATGCGCTTGTATCACAGTGTGCCTTAGAAAGGAACATTTCTTAATGCAGGGTCTGCACGTTGTTCATTTTAAGTCACAAAGAACTCTTCCAGATTGAAAAAAAAATAAACTAACGCTACGTGACCAGACTTTGTATTTCCCAGGAAAAGGCCTAGAAAAACAAGCATTAGATGGTATTCCACACAGGATAAGCACTTCGCTGTTTGATGTATATTTGTTTGTAGCTAATAAAATACTTTTTGAATGCAGAGTTTGCAGAGAGAGGTGCTTTAAAAAGGTTGTTGTTGAAAACACCTTTTGTACTGTCGAGAGGGGATCGTGGCAGTAATCCCTCTGCTTATTAGTATGTGTCAGAAAGAATAATGTAGATGACAAGATCAAGGTGGTCCTCAACTTACGGCTATAATTGGGACCAGAATTCCCATGCCAAAAGAAGGTAAGTAAATTATGCCTGATTTTACAAACTGCTTTTACCATGGTTGTTAAGCGAATCACTGCAGTTGTGAAGTGAATCACTCAGTTGTTAAGTGAATCTGGCTTTCCCCGTTGATTTTGCTTGTCGGAAACTGACTGGGAAGGCTCCCAAATGCCAGTCACATGACCCCCCCCCCCAGGGTGCTCTAATTGTCGTAAATACTGTGCATGCCGGTTGCCAAGCACCCACATTTCGATCATGTGACTATGGGATGGTTTGCAGTGGTTGTAAGCATTGTGTAGTGGGCTTTAGTAGGCAAGGAACAGACCAGCATAATTACAACACTATTTATTGACTTTAACTGCAACTGGAAATGGCAGGCAATTGCCTGTAATTATATCCTGAGCCCACGGGGCCTACCAATCACCATACTTGAAAATCCCGCCCAAATATGAGTGTTCAAAGTTTCCCTCCAAAACAGTTGGAGTTAACAGTCAGGGTCATCTAAAGGTTAGTTTCATTTTACAAGGCTTAACACAACTTTATATATTTCAATACATAACAGTAAGTGTGAAGACCGGCTCTTAAGTCATTTTTTTCCGGTGCCATTGTAACTTTGGTTATAAATCAAGGACTACCTGTATTTTATTTTCATAGAGTTCTTACTGCTCGCAGGGGGAGCATGGTGGCTCAGCGGTTAAGATACTGGCCTTATCGGTTAGACCAGGGGTAGGCAACCTTGGCTCTTTTATGACTTGTGGACTTCAACTCCCAGAATTCCTGAGCCAGCATGGCTCAGCTTGGAAACCTCTCCCTTTCCCCTCAGCATGGCTGGCTCAGGAATTCTGGGAGTTGAAGTCCACGAGTCAAAAAGAGCCAAGGTTGCCTACCCCTGGGTTAGAATGTCGGCAGCCCAGGTTCGTGACCCGAGCTCCACGTGATGGGGTGAGCTCCCTTCCTTGCCTCAGCTCCTGCCAACCTAGCAGTTTGAAAGCATACAAATGCGAGTAGATAAATGGGTACCACTTCAATGGGAAGGTAACAGCGCTCCGTGATGTCATGCTGGCTGTGATGACCCAGGGCACAGCACCGAGGCAATGCAGCCAGCTGGCAATTCAAACCGCCCTTTAATTGCTCCAAATTTTCCCCAAATGCTCCCACGTTTCTGGCAAGCCTCCAAACACAGGAAGACACACACACACCTTCAGCCACCTCTGGCTGCAAGTAATTTCACATAAGTCTGACAAGGAGAGGTATTTACTCAAGGCCACGGAGGTAACAAGGAAATGACACACACATCATAAATCTAATGAGTTTGTGTGAATACACGCTTGCCTGAGCAGTTTCAAAGGGAAGCCAAAATACAGTCCGAGATCTATAAACATCCAAGCAACGTTGTCAGCCAATCCAATGGTCAGAGTTTCCGGG